ATATGCAAAGTGAGACAAGTAAAAACTAGGGGTTGAGCTCCTGTTGGACTTGTTTTCTAAAAATAAACAAGTCGCTAAAATAGCGATGCTATTTATTCATTCATATTATTATTATAATTATTGGTTTACTGTTATTCATATAGTGTGAAAACTGTTCATCGAATAAATTCAGTAATTTAAAAACTAATAATATTCTACAAACCGCTCCAACTGGTAAATTAGGTTTCTTAATCGAGCATTTTTGGCGATACTTTATTCTGAGTGACGTCGTTATAACTTTTGAATTATGACATGAATGTTGTAAATGGAATTAATTTTGTTACATTTTTCAATAGCACTTTTAAAGGTCAATTTATAAACTTGTTGCGTCGTTTATATCATCCGTTAACGTTGCCGTTGGGGTGACGTTCGATAACCAACTTTTAACTTTGGCCGATACGTTGCCGTTGACGTTCGGTTTTCAACCAATCAAATTGCGATAGTGTGCAGTGCTGCCAAGTTGAAGAAAAATCCCCTGAATTAGGGGCGACATTTTCTGGTTGACAGCACTAATTCCACGAAAATCAAATTTTGATAGAGATATGAGGTCCACTAATATTAAGCCATTGAATCGCCTGTTCATCGAAACCCTCATATTCCAAATAGCTGCCATAATTTTCTACACGCTAGCTTTGTATCAGTATTTATGCATTGTTGAAGATAGTTCTCGACGTTTAAATCAACACGATTTATTACAAGGGCTTACATTTTGCCCTTATTTCTTATTGTGTGTAGTGAGTGTAGTCTTCTTTTCACAACAAGAAAGGTAAAACATGTTTAAAATGGTAAATTTTCGTAAGAAAGTAACGATTTTGTAATTACGCACCGCCCCTCGGTCTGACAACGAATGAAAAATTTATCACAATTGAGTTCAGGAAGGATATGATTAATTTTTGTTTTTTTTTTTTTCTTAATATACATAGTATTCTTTGAACAACACGATACTCAATGTTTTTCGGTACTTGTAGAGAAATAAGGATTTTGCAATTGACGCACGACGAATAAAAAAATCATCACAATTGAGATAGGACGGTTGGGTGGGGCTTATATTTTAAATTATAAATTTACATGTTGGTTAAAATGGTACATTTTTGTAACGAAATAAGAATTTTGCAACTAATTTTCCTTATATAAATTTTCCATTTTAAACATATTTGTGAAAAGAAGTCTACACATATTAAAACAAAAAGGCAAAATGTAAGCCCGCCCACCCGCCCCATCTCAATTGTGATTATTTTTTTTTATTCGCCATGAACCAAGGGGGCAGAGCTTAACTGCCAAAATACTTATTCTTTACAAGATATTAAAAAACTGTTTTTGAGTATCGTGTTGTTCAAAGAATACTATGCATATTAAGAAAAAAAGGCAAAATATAAACAATTGTAAGGTGATGTTTTTTTTTATTCTTAGAAACTTAAAACACATTTAAAAATGGTAAATTTTTGTAAGGAAAAATGGATTTTGCAATTAGGCGCCGCCCCTAGGTCTGCCAACGAATGAAAACTTCATTACTATTTACATCAGGGCAGGTATGGCTGGGACTTAATCTTTGGCTTTAATTTTTTCTTAATATACATAGTATTCTTTGAATAACACGATACTCAAAAATATTTCTTGTAGAGAAATTACTTAATTTCTTGTAGAGAAATTACTTTGGCTTTAGACGATTAAAAAAAAAATCATCACAAATGAAATAGGGCGGGTGGGCGGGGCTTATATTTTGCCTTTTTTCTTACTATACGTAGTCATCTTTTCAGAACAAAAACCTTAAAATTTGTAAATTCTTGTAGACAAATATGGATCTTTTAAGCCCCGCCCTTGGATCTGACAACGAATGAGAAATTCATCACAATTGAGAATTGAGGTCGGGGCGGGTATGGTCGGAGCCTAATATCTGGCTTTATTTCTTTCTTAATATACATAGTATTCTTTGAACAACACGATATTCAGAAACATATAGAGAAATAAGGATTTTGCAGTTAAGAGGGGTCGCTAACTTTGGCGCTTATGGTGTTGTCAATATATTTTCAGAATGTAATATCTCCATTATTAACACACCTATGCTTATGAAATTTTAAATGTAACTTTTCCTCAACTTTCACTACATGACATAACAATTTATTATCGTATATTTTTTAAATTTTGTTGAAATTTTTGCATCAAATTTTGGCATCAAGTATTTTAAAAAATCAATATTTTAGTTATTTATGAAAATTTTGGAACGGGGTTGTCACCACTGTTTTCGGCTTGCAAAACTTTAGAAATCGTACAATGTCTATTTTTGACTTTAGTTCTTGGGACCGAGATATAGTAAAAATAAAAGTTAGGAACTTCTATGAGAGAAGCTTTTTTTTATTGTGTATCGTTTTTAACAAAAAACATCGACGATATGTCTGGTATGGTTTCTGAAGTTTTGTAAACTGAAAACAGTGTTGAAAACCGTGTTCTGAAATTTCCTTTAAGCTAATCAGAAACCCTACGGGCTCGGAAAGAGCAACGAAACCATCAAATTTTAGCTAGAAACAGTATTTTTGTCGATTTTTATTAAATCTGAACTATATTTCAACATTTTTTGCAGAATCGTCTCAGATTAGGAAAAGGAGACGTTTGGGTCAATTTTATGCATTCTGGCGTTCGTAGATACAAGAAAATTGTTAAAATTCTTCAGAAACGTCACTTTTGAAGTGTTTTCTTGTAGTTTTAATAATTTAGATATTGATTTTTAAAAATACGTTATGCAAAAATTTCACTAAAATTAAAAGAAAAATATGATCACAAACTGATTTTAACACAATAGGGTTTTCCACTAAAGTTTAAAATCAAATTTTAACTAAACATTCTGAAACAATATCTAAATACATGTACAAAAAACAAATTTGAACTATTTATAAAAAATAATCGCTTTGAAAAAAATTGTCAAAATAATAGCAGAGTGAGAGACCGGCTCAAAGTTGCAGTATTTCGCGGTTAAAAGTGTAACCAATCACTTTGAAGCGATGGCAGCGATGCTGTGTTGCCAAACCTGCTGGTTTATTATATTGAGGTAGGTCAGAGTGTGCACGTGTTTTTGATCAACTTGGCCTGTTCGTTTTATTCCTTAAATATAAACAAATTAAATAGAAAAAATTGGCACGATGGCGAAACAGTGTTTCTTCGTTGGGTGTGATAATAACTCTACAAATAATCCAGAAAAATTATTTCTTACTGTTCCCCAAAAAGTGGATCGGAGGAAGTTATGGTTTGAAGCTGTGGGAAGAACATACATACCTGGGAAAAGTTTGTACTGTTGTGAAGATCATTTTGATGTAAGTATAGTAAATATTTCAAAAATTTGTATGTCGGTATCTACTTGTATCACCTTATTAACAAATTTTCTTTAATAAAGTTGGAAAAGGATGCTGAAAATTGGATTCATTTCAAATTAATGGGTACACGCCTAATGTTAAAAGACAATGTGGTTCCAAGAAGCATGGTGAGGAAAGAAACTTCGTCCCAATTCACACCAACTTCAAGGAAACGTAAGATGGAAACACAACAGCACAGTAGAGGGCTTCGAAGGAAACTGTTTCCTGAACCTACTGTACCTGGTACTTCACAGGATGTAACAGAGGATGTAGAAGAACTGCAATTAAAAACAGTGGCTTCACCATCTGGCATGTTTGTTAGTGCAAAATCGCCAGAAAAATCAGTTTCTCCTTTAAGAACAAAAAGGAGAACTCTTAGAAAAGCAACTCAGACAAGAGTTAGCACAAAAGATCAGTCATCAATGACCTCAGTTGAAGTGGCAGATAAAAGCACAAACACTCTTCGATCATTATCGTCACAAATATATCAAAGCCCCCACAAACCTATTCAGGGATCATCGACATCATTGTCATCATCCTCCCTTTCACTCCAAAGTGGAAGTGTTTATGAGCCATCATCGGAGTCATTGCATGAAACTAATATGATATCCAAAGAACTATTGGTGAAAGTGGAAATATTCAAAATTGAAAATAATAGCAGATTTTATCTGGGCTTGCCCAAGTCAGAATTTTTTTTCATCAAATTACTCCAAGAAGAATTAGAAGTTCCTGTAGAACATATTTATATCGTTCTTAAGAAAATACGAACAGATGACCAATTTGTACGATTAGGGACAGATTTTGCATTAAGCACTAGTGGTGTCAGTAATATATTTTCAAAAACATTGCCAAAAATGGCTACAAAACTCAATGAGTTAATTTTTTGGCCTGAGAAAAGTAAAATTCAGCGAGTTCTACCTAGGCAGTTTCAGACGTATTATAAAGATGTTGAAGCAATCATTGATTGCTTCGAAATACAGGTTGAAAGACCTAGTGCAGCTTATCAGCAAGCTTTAACCTGGAGCAATTATAAAACTTGTAACACATGCAAGTATTTAGTGTCAAGTACTCCAAATGGGCTAATTAATTTTATATCAGAAGGGTTTGGAGGTCGCACATCAGATGTAGAAATAATTAAGCAATCAGGGTATTTGACCGTTGTACCTGAAAATGCAACTGTAATGACCGATAGGGGCTTCAAGCAAGTAGCAGGGCTTTTCCAGAAAAAAAAGGTGAATCTAGTCAGACCTCCCAGCGTCACAAGCACCAGAAAAATGACGAAGGATGAGGTACGTCAGTCGAAACTTGTCGCAGCGTTGAGGATCCACATTGAAAGATTAATTCGTAGGATCAAAGAATTTCAAATGTTGGGTCCACATGCTACCACAGATCATAATTTGGTGCCACTTTTGGATCATATTGTAATTGTTGCTTGTGGTTTGATAAATTTGCAAGGTCCATTAATACAATAGTTTTTACATGGTTTTTATTTGTATTTTATTGGAAACAATAAATTAATTGAATAAATAGAAGCATTTAACTTTTTTTTATTGATACTAGGGGATTGGGGTATAACGGGATTTAGATTTATTTATTATTGAAATGAATAAGAAATAATTATGAAATAAATAAGTATAATTATTGAAAACATCAGTTAATTAAAATTGGAAAAATCGCTTTTTTCCAAAAAGCTTGTGCCTGCTCCATTACATTGTGACAAAAATTTTCATCCAAAGGAATTTCCTTTATAGTCACATTTCTGTCCGTTTCAAAAGATGGAGATGCAACGCAAAATAAACCCCATTGTTTTTTACTAAGAAACATTTGCAGCTGCAGTTGTGCATATGGTTTAGGAGTTATTTCACCCTCTGGCGTAATGTAATTTTTTACAGTATTTGTCTTTATTGGACATTTTATTTCAACGCAATATTTATCAGACATTGCATCTGCCGAGGCACCAAATATTGGGTACATATGATTTATGGTCATTCCTACTCTTTCTAATTTAATATTTTTCTCCTCAGCTATGACTTTTAAGACATCATCTTCAAGGTTAAGGCCTCTTTTCATGGCCTTTGTTCCTCTAAATTTTGATGCTGCCAGAACTGCAGCAGTTGTAGCTCCATCAACAGTTTTGCAGTGAGCAACTTCATGCAGCTTTGAAGCTGTTATTCTCGCATATCTAACATCAAACCAGGCTTTAGATTGTGACTGCAATATTGTTAAAGTATCTATACTTTTGCAACTTTCACTATTTAAATTATTTTGGCAAAACGATATGAAGTCTTCTGCATTTGGTGCATCAGTCGTTTTTTTATAAGAAAGACATAAATGGTACAACGAAGCTTTCTCCAAAATATTCACTTCACTCTTATACATTGTAGCAAGAATTGAATGACTATCTGATTTTAATGCGGTAGAAATTACTTTGTCCAAAAATGTCGTTCCTTTTGTTGGTAAAGAAGGAACTTGCCGAAAATTAAACAACTCTCTCATTCTTTGCCCTTTTATAGTACTGCCAACTTTAGACAGAGTAGACTTCCTCCAATAACATTCAACAGAAGTCACTGAAGGCTCCAAGGTACGTCTGTATAACCAGAACAGTAAGGCTACACCATGTTTACAACCACCTGAAAAGTAGACGCAATACATACACTCATACAACATAAAATCATTCATACCTTCACTTGCAGCACAGTCATAACACTTTGAGTCAATTATGCATTGTTCAGACTCATTTATTCTTACTGAAACTTCATAGCCTTTTAGGCGAACTTTATGTTCTGGTGCAATCAAAGCTTTGACAGTACAAATCTCATCGTGTCGTCTCAACTGCACATAACCAACAGCATCGTCGCCGTAAGTTGCACGAGCTCCACTATAACAATGAATAATTACTATCAAATCATTATTACGTTGTACACTTTACCGTTCGGTTTTCACATTTTCAACACCTGGTATCAGAAAATTCACATTTCTTCGATAATACAAATCTATCATTACATCATCAACTACAGGGAGATTGGTAGAAGTAGCTTGCTCATATTCACTTTCCATTGTGACTATTTATTCTGTGCCGTATTTTCCCAGATAATCTTCCTACACAATTTTAAGTTGTAAGTCGCTGTAAAAGGTTTTGGTAAGTGGTAAATATTAAACGGCCAATTCTACTCACCGTGTTTAAACAAACAATGTCAAATAATGGAAACGACTGACTTTTTAAATTATTTTAAGCGTCAATGAGAGCAAATTACAAAACGTTAACACTAAGATCGACCAAACATAAATAAACCTAACCTATCATAACCCAACAAGAATTCAAGATGGCTAAATACCGATGTCGTCTAACTTTAAAGCAGCGTGAGCGGAGTTGCCACATCGCTACGCTGATCCCATTGGTCAGCGTTACGTACGTCATCATGACGTACGTAATGCACAACTTAACCGCGGGAAAAAATTACTTTAAATTTAACTTTTTTTTTTTGAGTTATTGAAAAGTAAAAAAAAAATATTGACCACATCTTCGCATTTTGTAGACGATATTCTTTCGTGTAGTGCATTAAAAAAAAAATCGTGGAATACCCTATTGCGTTATATAAAGAAAGTTATGGACAACATATATTTAAAATTTCAAAACCATTGGTCTGTTAATAATGGAGATATTACATTCTGAAAATAGAACATTCCACTTAGAAAACATAGCGTCTGGCCTCAAGCGACAAATAAAAAAAAAATCATTACAATTGCGATAGGGTGGGTGGGCGGGGCTACATTTTTCCTTGTTTCCTTAATAGGTATGTGTAGACTTACTTCGACAACAAAAAACTTAAAATATGCCAAAAGTGATAAATTTTTGTAGTAAACAACTTAAATCCTCCACTTTTCTTCTACAACCACTTTAAATACGGCAAAAGTTGAACAACAGAGTTTATAAATGACAATTTTCAGCTCTAAAAGCAACGTCATTGGAAAGAGCAATTGCAACGGGAGCTTCAACGTCAACATCAAGTTTATAAATTCCATTTAAATGTTTTTTTTTTGTGGCATCCAGCGTTTCGAAAAAAACCCAAATTGTATAACATTTTATTACAGCTATACAGGATCGCTAGAATGTATGGAAACCGCTAAATATCTTGAGAACCAAGTGTACAAATCAACTGAAATTAGCTATAAGGGTACAAGAAGTTATGCTCTAATTACACTAGTTTACAAGGTTTTATATCCAAAGACAAAAATAGTTGAATCTAAACGATTTGGGTTCGGGAAATTCAAATCTGAAAGCAGAAAAAATCCATCACGTCAGGTTTTTGAGATATTTATATAAACATACCCCGTATTTCTTTTCTTTTGTACAACTCTTGTAATTTTTTTATTTTTAAATATATGTATGAACATATAGTTCTTTGAGCAAATTTGTATCATTTTAAAAGATCATTTACGTAAATAAATAACATGAGTCAATTTTTCAAGCTACTAGATTGTCATCAATGTTTTATTTAAAATTTTTCAATTAGGGATTGATTTTAGAATAATTGGTTGCTTTTGATTTTTCTACGGGAAGTGATAATAAAAATCTGAGGTTGGCCCAACAAAGATCTTTTAAAATGATACAAGTTTGCTCAAAGAAATATAGGTTTATCTTTAAGAATAAGGAAGTTACAGCGGTTGTATCAAATAAAAGCAACACCCAGTATATATTATAAACATTATGACTGAAAATTAAAAATGATTAACACTAGCGTTTCTTTTATTGGCAGTACTCTCAGTTTCCCTTATAATAGACAACACATTTTCGTCCCAAAAACCTTGATATCTTCTTTTTAAGCATATTTGAACAGGTCTTCCCGTTTTAGGTACTATAATTTTACCACAAACGGAAGAAAGCTGATTTGCACTTAGTTTGCACGATTTCGAAGACATGTTTTATGCGACAATAGTGCATTAACATGAATCAGTTTAACACTAACGTGAAGGTAAAAGCAAAGTTCATTATTTTGGATTTATGAAAAAACTTGATGTGATAGGGATTATCCGTTTTTGGATTTGTTATCAGTAAGTAATTTAGAAGTAGAAAATATTTTTTTTATTTTTGGATATGAAAAAAAGTTTAAATTTGTAAACTAGTGTTATTATTCGTCATTTTGCTTGAATTGTTTTCGAGATGCAACGCCAACTTGATTGTTTTTAAATGGCACTACTATATAATTAATGCATTTTTACACAGAGCTTTTTTTTCTGAATTCGTTAATACAGCATAATTATACTTTCTTTCTGATTGAAATGGCAAAATAAATTATTAATCAATAATAATTAAATAAATTAATAATCACTAATTTTAATTAGTATTATACAATAAATAAATTAACCAAAACTAAAATTAAACGTCTGTTTTCTACAAAAGATGCTCAAAATGCTTTCCATTTACTTCCTTTGCAGTGAAAAAGAAGCTGAATAAAATTTTGTAGAATGAGAATTTCAAGACGAATACTAGCAATTTCGTTACGTATGCGTTCCTGTAAGTCTTCAATGTGAATCGGTCTATTGATACAAACGCGACTCTTCAAATACCCCCACAAAAAAAGTCAAGCGATGTGAAATCCGGTGACCTGGCAGGCCACTCAATAGTTTCTGCTGGTAATTCCGGATTTTGGTAATTGGGCAACAGCCTTAAGTATCCCTTAGATTCTAAATTTCCATTAATAAAAAAAGGACCAATTACATGGTAACCAGTAATACCAAAATCATCTTTGTTTAGCTCTTGCACTAAATGGATTTTGTATGGATAAAACTTTTCCTTTTTTATTATTATTTGAATTGATTTTCTAACATTGTGATTCAGCGCTAACTGTTGCACTGACGTTTTGGAATTTTCTGCTGCGTCTAATAGGGCATTTTCATCATTTGTAGCAGTTTTTGGCCTGCCAGATTTGGACGTTCTTTAACACTTCCAGTTTCATTTGACCAAAACTTTTGTCTTTTGTCACTGTAACCGATAATCATTAATAATTCTTAATTTATTCTTATTTAAAATAATTTATTTTGCCATTTCAATCAGAAAGAAATTAGATTGTGCTACATCAATGAATTCAGAAAAAAAGCTCTGTTCAAAAATGTATTAATTATATGGTAGCGCCATTTAAAAAAAAAATCAAGTTGGCCTTGCATCTTGAGATTTTTGTTGCATCTGTTACATAAAACAGGCATTTTGATGAGAAATTTACAGTGCATATAAAATGTTGTTCTTCGCAAAATCAAATTTTGTAATTTTCCGTAGAATCTCGATTTATTGGACTGTACTTCAAACACAACGCAATTTCTGTGTGAACAACCTTACACCATTTTTTTATTTACTGGCAGTTTTTTTGTTGAACTCGCTTGCCAGAAATAATTTTAACAATGTTCGAGAGAAATATGACTCGTATAAGAAATTGTTATTTAAACTGAAAGTCGTAACGGAAGCGGCGTTCCCTGCGCCGTCCCTCCCCCGAAATTCCGCCCTTTTTCGCTAACGCAGGTTAAACGATCTTTGAAATCCAGTTCTTTTCCCCAAATGAATACGTAATAACTTGGTGAAGCCGCTTGCAAACAAAGTAGCCGCAATCATTCACGATGGCTAGCGGTTGTCGCATAATAATGCTTGCCGCCCACGCTTGTCTGCAGACTCACTCTACGACCAATTACTCTTTGACAGCCAATTGATAACTTCTTTGAGCGGTAATTTACCTGTCTCAAGTAGAGCGCGCAACATCCCTATCACCCCGCGACTCCACTTATGCAAAATTGCCCCTAATCGATCACCCCTCCCACCGCGCTTAATTCATCATCTTCGCTATTATCGCATTTGTCAACTAGCTAATAACATAAAACCGGCGGTTAAGCAGGCCCGGTTACTTATCATCGGTCATAATGTTTGTTCTACGTGACGCGAATGTCTAAAGGCCCGTATTGATGGTCCGAGGGGGAGGTCGCCCGTTATTTATGCTAATTATTTGTGTTTGTGCTGACGAACATGCCGTTCATTTGCATGTAGCCCCAAAAGTGCAAATCGTGCCCACCCTGTATTTGATGGGGACAGCTAAGTATAAATTCCGCTTGAAGTTGTAAAAATTGGTATGAGATTAAAGCAGCTTTTAACGTCAGCTTTATAATCGCATTATGACGTGAGAGGTGTGCTAAATTTTATTTATAAACGAACGTTATTTACACGTACAAAGCAAGCTTGTAAACGGCCAAAATGTGGAAATAAAAATACACATTGACATTATAACAAATCGCTGGACGGTTGTTTGTTAGCCAAGCTCCAAAGAGAATCAACGCTGTTTCATGTCAATAAAATTATTACCAATAAATTATTGTTGTTCCGAACACCGGGGAAGCTAAAATGCACGTCCAAGTAACTACAACGATGACGCAGTTGATAAAACAACCAATGACAAGTGAAACAAAAGGCACGTGATGGAAGTCGGAGCCCCTAGACCAATTAAGATGATATCTGGCAACATCACGTATACATATGTAGCTAGATCACAGAGTGTGTAGCTGAATAACTTAATTTTACCGTATAAACAATACAATTTTAGACAAAGGGAGGATGTGATTAATACACCGAAGCTTATCCTATTCCTTTCCAATAAACATTTAGTCTGGATTTTGAAGCAGTTTGAAATAATCTCGGGGACCCCTTTTGTTTTGTTTTTGAAGTACTTTGAAAAAATTTCGGGGACCCTTTCTTCCTACTTTACCACTGGCTGTATTCTATATTTCCTCAATAAATAACATAACATTAAAATGAGTTTTATTTAAACGCAAAAAAATTTAACGGAAATAATGTTTTGCAAAACTGATAATTATTCGTAAAAAACTGTCAGGTGTGGGATTCGAAGCCACGCTTTCTTCCGAGAATTAGATATGGATACCTAATTAATACGTTAGTTCGGCACGGGTCACAATAGTACAAAGCCCTATTTCTACTATTTAATCAGCCCGTATAATAGTTGAACGCTGCTTACGGTACGTCTAGTAATCTTAAATATTACAGTTAAATCTACGCAGTGGTGTGACGTGGTCGTAACCACGAGGAGGATTAATTAGTATATAATTTGTAAACCGAAAAAGAACTGTCAGGTGTGGGATTCGAATCCACGTTCTTTTTCGGGAATCGGAGCTTAAATCTAACGTCTCAGACCTCTCGGCCAGTCTGACTACACTTAGTTGTCTTATTTATAAATCTATAGTTTCCTTCTAAGCTATATGAGGGGATAGTCGGGATAGAACTCAAGTCTGGACAACAAGGCGATGACAAACGTTCGATAAAAAGTAGTGGGGCTTCTAGCTCAGGTTAAATGAGGTCAAACTGAGCTAGAGGCCCCACTATATAACTACTGAAGTAGTAGAAAGAATCTCGAGGACCACTTTTGTTTTGTTTTGAAGTTGTTTGAA